GAGCTACAGTTCTACCTGGTGGTGGCCTTGGCCTTGATCTCAGTGCTCTTCCTCCTGGCAGTGATTTTGGCTATTGCCCTGCGCCTGAGGCACTCCTCCAGCAATGAGGCTTGGGGCTGCTTTCAACCTGGTCTGTGCGCCAAGCCTGGACCTGTGATTCAGCCCAACTACAGTGAGGGAACTCTGCCTTAYTCCTATAATCTCTGCGTTGCACATACGGGAAAGACAGAGTTTAATTTCCTACAAAGTAATGATCCACTGAGTTCAGGACAAGATATACTCTGCAGTGAGTCACCAGGAACTTTGTTTCCACTTTGTAATTCCAGTGAGTCAACTTGCCATCCTGAAGCTCTAGCACCGGTGAGTTCCATTTAAGTTTTTAAAACTTTTCATCATCCATCCATTTTCTGTATTAACCTGGAAATACTGCATATTTTCAGATCTATTGAGTTGTCTTTGTTAGTTATAATTTCCATTCCTCATAGAAATTGTGAAGAATTGAATTATGGGTGGTTGAGTTATGAGTGCTTATAAAATATAATACAGATTCCAGGGAATATTAAAAGGTTACAGGATTTACAAAGTATGAGAGTGACCTCTTAATAATTTGGCAAAAAGATTGGACATAGTTTCTCTCTTCTGTCAAAGCTAATGATGTTTATCCATTGATTGTCATTCTTTAGCATATATTTAAATATTATGTAAATATTAAATTTAGAGTAGAAAATCATTTAATTCATTCCTTTTTCTAAATTTTTTTAGTTGTAGATGGACACAACATCTTTATTTTATTCATTTATTTATTTGTTTATTTATTTATGTGGTGCTGGGGATCAAACCCAGTGCCTCATGCATGCCAGGCAATTGCTCTACCTCTGAGCCACAACCACAGACCCTAATTCATTCTTTAAAGACACAGCTAGTGATATCTTCCTTTGCCAAGTTTACTGAAAGATTCCATTCCTTTGTATTGTTTATTTCTCATGTCTAGTTCCTTTATATTTATGGTTCTTTGACTTCACATTAAATGCATGAAAAATGCTATGTGTGTTTGTGTGTATGAAAGAGACTCACTTGGGCTGGGRATGTGGCTCAAGAGGTAGCACGCTCTCCTGGCATGCATGAGGCCTGGGTTCAATCCTCAGCGCCACATACAAACAAAGATGTTGTGTCCGCCGAAAACTAAAAAATAAATATTAAAAAATTATCTCTCTCTCTCTCTCTCTCTCTCTCTCCCCCCTTCTCTTTAAAAAAAAAAGAGACTCACTTAAATCATAAGCTCCAAGTCATTAAATTCTTTCAGATTTTGTTGGATGCAAAATCCTAAGAAAAAAAATGTACTTCCTTGTTAGAGTACTTGCCTAGCATACATGAGGCCCTGGKTTTGATTCCCAGCACCACAAAAAGAAAAAGAAAAAAAAGTGAAATGTCTAGATGGAGGATGGAAATATGGAAATGGATACTTGCTCTATCCTATGTGCTCATTTGAATCTTCCAAATGCCATATCTGTATATGTATCGTGTATTCACATAGAAAGCTAAACTTTTTTGAAATAGAAGAAAAGTTTGAATAACCGCAAAAGTGTGGATCTTTAAAACCACAATCTTATTAAACTTTAGCAATATTAGGGAAAAAATCTATAATTATTGCCTAGCAAAAATTATTTTTATCCTGGGTATGGTTTTTCATACCTGTGATCCCAGGTAGTCAGCAAGCTGAGCCATAGAATCACAAATACAAGGTCAACCTTAGCAACTTAGCACTATCTTGTCTCAAAATAACAAATAAACAGGGTAAATAAATGATTTGATATGAAAAAAAAATAAAAAGGGCTGGAGATGTAGCTCAGTGGTAAAAGCACCTCTGGGTTCAATCCTCAGTACCACCACCACCACCACCCCAAAAAAATGTTTTYATGACACAAGTTTTAGAAGAAGCTTTTCTTCAGGAATTTTACCATCAACCTAAATTAACTTTATAAAATAATTTCAATGTGATTAATCTGTTCATATACATTCATTCAATATAATGATATGATATACATCTATAAATAGATAACACAAGTTTCAAATTAAGAAAAATATGAATATATGAACATATTTCCAAAGAGAACTGCACATCATTACTTCTGCAAACTAACAGATATATAGAAAATAAACTAAGAATCATTAAAAAATAAACTACAAGAATTTACATATCTATAGTGTGTGTAGAATTCTACCAAAAACAAAGAAAGTTAGTTAATATTTTTTAAAACCTGGTGATTTTATACTTAATGAAATTTCATTCCATTTCATTTACAACTCAAATAACCCAAATGGTAATGCTTTTCAAATGTGAATGCTAGAAACAATTTCAAAAGTCCAAAATCAAATGAGAAAAGAGAATTCTTCGACCATCCTCTATGATCAAATTTTGCAAATCTCGCGGTGCCCAGGGGCACACGCCTGCAGTCSTAGATACTCTGGAAGCTAAGGCAGCAGCATCGCATGAGCCTAAAAGGAATTCAAGACCAGTCTGAGCAATACAGCAAGAACATATCTCAAAAATAAAGGAATATTTTAAAGTTGAATATCTCGGTGTAGTAACGAGTTAGGACTCTGAGCGCCGCTGTTCGCCAACTTTGGAAACTCGGCTCCTTTCAGATCTTTACACAAAGCCCCGCCTATCCCACAAACTGGCTCCTGAGCTGCAAGGAAACTCAATCTCTAATTTTGGGGCACTCCGGCATTCTCCTGAGGAAAAAGATCACCAGACGGTGGAGGAGGAAGAGAAGAATCTAATGCATCAGTGTACACGGTAAGCATTCTGAGAGAATTCCGTAGCGAGGCAACAATGGCAGCTCCAACCAAACGCCAGCATTGCAGAAGACTGGTCCTGCTGTGCGTGCTCCTGAGGACGCTGTGGGAGGCCAGGGCCAGTCAAATCCGCTACTCGGTGCCGGAGGAAAGAGAAAAGGGCTATAATGTGGGGAATATCTCCAAGGACTTGGGACTGGAAACCCGGGAGCTGGCAGATCGCGGAGTCCGAATTGTCTCCAGAGGTAGAACGCAGCTTTTCTCTTTGAATCCACAAAGCGGCAGCTTAATCACCGCGGGCAGGATAGACCGGGAGGAGCTCTGCGCCCAGAGCGCGCGGTGTCTGGTGCACTTTAAAGTCTTGGTTGAAGACAGCGTAAAACTTTACGGAATAGAAATAGAAGTGCGTGAYATCAACGACAATGCACCAAAATTTGAGGCTGAAAATCTGGAAGTAAAAATTAATGAAGTCGCTGCTCCTGGAGCTCGGTACCCACTCCCAGAAGCCATTGACCCGGATGTGGGCGTGAACTCCCTGCAGAGCTACCAGCTCAGCCCCAGTCACCACTTCTCCCTGGACGTGCAAACGCGAGACGATGGAACCTTAAACCCGGAGCTGGTGCTGGAGCACACTCTGGACCGAGAAGAAGAGGCTATTCACCACCTGGTCCTCACCGCCTCGGATGGCGGCGACCCATGTCGCTCTAGCACAGTGCGCATCCAGGTGACAGTGCTGGATACAAACGACAATGCCCCAGTGTTTGCTCAACCGATTTACAGAGCCAAAGTCCTTGAGAAYGTGCCACCAGGCACCCTATTGCTTACAGTAAGAGCTAGCGACCCGGATGAGGGAGCCAACGGGAAAGTGGCATATAAATTCCGGAAAATCAATGAAAAACAATCTCCCATTTTCCAACTTAACGAAAATATTTGTAGCAAAAAGTCTAGATTATGAAGAATGTTCATTTTATGAAATGGAAATACAGGCTGAAGATGGTGGTGGATTGAAAGGGCGAACCAAAGTGCTAATTATGGTGGAAGATGTAAATGACAATAGACCCGAAGTGACCATTACATCTCTATTTAGTCCAGTGAGGGAAGATGCTCCTCAGGGAACAGTTATCGTTCTTTTCAATGCACACGACCAAGATTCTGGGAAGAATGGTCAGGTTTTCTGTTCCATCCAGGAGAATCTGCCTTTTAAATTAGAAAATTCAATAGAAGATTATTACAGGTTGTTGACAGCCCAAATTCTTGATAGAGAAAAGGCCTCTGAGTATAACATCACAGTGACAGCCACAGACAGAGGAATGCCACCCCTATCTACGGAAATTCACATCACCCTATATGTGACTGATATCAACGACAATCCACCTGCCTTTTCTCAAGCCTCCTATTCTATCTACCTTCCGGAAAACAACCTCAGAGGCACCTCCATCTTCTCAGTAACTGCCCATGATCCTGATAACAATGAAAATGCTAGGGTTACATACTCCTTGGTGGATGATACCATCCAGGGAGCTCCCCTCTCTTCCTATGTATCCATTAACTCTGAAACTGGTGTGTTGTATGCACTGCGATCATTCGACTATGAGCAGTTTCGAAATCTTCAAATACAGGTAAGGGCAAGTGACAATGGGAACCCACCACTCAGCAGTAATGCATCACTGAGCCTTTTTGTGCTGGACCAGAATGATAACACCCCTGAGATCCTGTACCCCACCCTCCCCACTGATGGTTCCACTGGGGTAGAGCTGGCACCCCGCTCTGCAGAGCCTGGATACCTTGTGACCAAGGTGGTAGCARTAGACAGAGACTCAGGACAGAATGCTTGGCTGTCTTACCACCTGCTCAAAGCTAGTGAGGCAGGGCTCTTCTCTGTGGGGCTGCACACAGGTGAGGTGCGAACAGCAAGGGCTCTTCTGGATAGAGATGCTATAAAACAGAGCCTTGTGGTGGCTGTGCAGGACCATGGCCAGCCACCTCTCTCAGCCACTGTCACATTCACCGTGGCTGTGGCTGAGAGTATCCCCAATATCCTGGCTGACCTGGGCAGCATGGAGATCCCTGCAGATTCCAGAGATTCTGACCTCACGCTCTACCTGGTTGTGGCAGTGGCTGCTGTCTCCTGCGTCTTCCTCACCTTTGTCCTTGTTCTGCTGGGGCTCAAGTTTCGGCGATGGCATTCCTTGCATCTGCTACAGGCTGAAAATGGTGGGTTGACTGGTCTGCCCACCTCGCACTTTGTGGGCGTGGAGGGGGTGCAGGCTTTCCTGCAGACCTGTTCCCAGGAGTTTTCTCTCACAGCTGACTCTAGAAAGAGCCACATTATCTTTCCCCAASCCAACTATGCAGACATGCTCATCAGCCAGGAGAGCTGTGAGAAAAAGGAGACTTTGGGCCATTCACTTGATTCCAAGTTTCCTATAGAAGACACTCCTTTGGTTCCCGTGAGTTGGATTTTTTTTCTTTACTGTCTGTAACTACTTTCTCATTAACTGTTCTTATTTGAGGTAGCACAGATTGATATTAATGTTTCTCACCCTTTATATTTTC